AAACACCACGGGATGCCTGAGTGCAAGGAGCCTGTGCTGCAGCAGTGGTGGGAAGCCAGGGGCCAGCCACTGCCAGGGACCCCGCAGCACACATGCCACGAGAAGGGAAAAGGATCTATACAACCATTAATTGACCATTAACGGCATGTACAATTATTATTGCACCTCCCCAGGAAAAAGGGCACGCAGCCTGACTGAACCGAGGCTCCTTCAGAGGGCAGCCGAGTCCAGTGCCTGGCCCGGGCAGCAGCTTCTCCCAGGGACTCCAGTTCCCTCTGGGGGCCACTGGTGTGCAGCCGAATGAGGTGGGTGAGCCCCGGGGGAGGCTCGGCAGGCACAGCAACGCTCACACACCAGCGGCTGCTCTGGTCCCGTTCCTAAGCTGGAGCACTCCACAAGCAAAGAGACTTTAGCAATTCCTCCCGACTTGGACTCGGCTGAGGTCAGTGCTGAGGTTGCTATGTCCAAGCACTTGTTTCTTTGAAACACTGAGAATTAAAAACTAGCTATTTTGTGAAATAAAAATTTGAAAATTAGAATTTGAAAGCTGTTGTATTAATTTTACGCCAAGCTTCAGTCAAGCACAGTAACCCTAAAATTACATTTTCCTACCTGTTAAGGCAAGCAGGCACCATACAAATTATAGTTACACACACTCCTAAGCTAAAAGCATTTTTGAAAAGTACAACAAATGCTGCCAAACTCAAGGAACAAGATCACTTAGCAGATTCTGAAACTGTTAACCTATTGCCATGGTTTAACCCCAGATGGCAGCTAAACTCCACAGAGCTACTGACCCACTCTCCCCCTCGGTGGGATGAGGGAGAGGGTTAAAATGGGTTGAGATGAAGACAGTTTAACAGGTAAAGCAAAAGCCACGTGCACAAGCAAAGCAAAACAAGGAATTGTTTGGCCACTACCCATGGCAGGTGGGTGTTCAGCCATCTCCAGGAAAGCTGGGCTCCACCACAGGTAATGGCCACTTTGGCAAGTGCCATCACTCTGAATGTCCTCCTCCTTCCTCCAGCTTTACTTGCTGGGCATGATGTCCTGTGGTCTGGGATATCCCTCTGGTCAGCTGGGGTCAGCTCCTCTGGCTCTGTCCCCTCCCAGCTTCATGTGCACCCCCAGCTGGGGGGGTGTGAGGAGCAGAAGAGGCCTTGGCTCAGTGTAAGAGCTGCTCAGCAATAACTGAAACATCCCTGGGGTATCAGCCCTGTTTGCAGCACAAAACTGAAGCACGGCCCCGTACCAGCTGCTGGGATGGAAACTAACTCTAGCCCAGCCAAAACCAGCACAGCTATGAAAATGCAAACAACAGTTAGAAAAAAGACCTTTCCCTCTAATAAGGTTGATAGTTTAATCCCCAGAGACCAACTGTAAGTATTTTTTTTTCTGTATTAGCTTCAGTTCTCAAACTACCTGAAAAAGAACAAGGAGGGGAAAACCCCATACCAACGAGCATTAATCACATGCAGTGTAAATGCTACACAGCCACTGCAAATTCAAGGAAACCACAACTGCACAAAGACAGCACCATTTTACTGTGGTTTATCATGCTGTGGAGAGCTTGGTTTGGTTTTGACACCTGAGCTATAGCGCATAAATGGATTCTTTGATGGTGGTACTTTCTGTTAGAAAGTCATTCTTCAGCCTGCATCAGCCAGGACACTCGTGGTGCACAGCTCCTTAAACCTCACCATTTCTACCAGCACCACAACTCCTGCAAAACCATCACTGCTTCTGCAGCAAACCTCCCTCCAGCACTCCCATCACCCCAGTGCAGCACATTCCAAGGCAGCCCCATCCTGGTTACATGGACGCTACACCAGCATCCCCAGGAGGTCTGGGGCAGCATCACAAGCAGCTGCTCCTCTGCTTCCCTAGGCTTTTCACAGGCCAGAAGGCAGGGAACACAGGGGGAGCGTTTACCATCAACCCAAAAGGCCTGAGCCACATCCACAAATTTATCCAGTTGCTTACACTCCCACTGATTCCAGATGGGACTCGGGACGACTAAACAAACACTGCTGTGGGTACAGGTGTTAGTTCTGTTGTAATGCATTCCACACAAGCAACCCCCTTCATCTGCAGCAGGCCTCAGCTTCCGACAGCTCATACAGCATAAGAAAAGTTCCTACAGCTTCTGTGCCTGTCCAACAGGCCAGATGAGATGGCAGAGGTCTAGCACTTTGCATGTTCCTCACAAAATCTCACTGAATGGCATGGATCTGCTTGAGCAGGTCCAGAGAAGACCACAAAGATGGTCAGGGGACTGGAGCACCTCTCCACTAAGGCCAGGCTGAGAGAGGTGGAGTTGTTCAGCCTGAAGAAGAGAAGACTCCAAGGAGATCCTATAGTGGCCTTCCAGCAGTTAAAGGGGGCCTACAGGAAAGCTGGGGAGGGCTCTTTATCAGGGCCTGTAGTGACAGGATGAGGGGCAGCAGTTTCAAACTGGAAGAGGGTAGATTTAGATTAGATATTAGAAAGAAGTTCTTCACTGTGATGGTGGTGAGACACTGGAACAGTTTGCCCAGAGTGGCATCCTCCACTTGTGGACGCCCCATCACTGGAGGTGCTCAAGGCCAGGTTGGATGGGGCTTTGAGCAACCTGGTCTCATGGAAGGTGTCCCTGTGAATGAAGCTGTGCAATAAGCAAGCAAACTGTGAAGTGCATTTAGAAGTCAACCTAATGATGGATTTAGAGGCTTAAAGCAACTCCTTTACTCTACTTGTTGGAATCTTTAATTACATTTTTGTCCTCATCCCCAGCAATCAGATGGGACACTGAAGTAGAGAGCTTTATGAATCACGCTCTGCTGGGTTTGGTGTCTTTGAGCAATCACATATTTAGGTTATTTCAGGAAAACAAAGCCTTTTAAGCATGCTGAGCTTTGTCAAGGTAAACATGGAATTCTACAGGAAGTTAATTAGGTTTCAGGCCAACAGAAGCGGCTCCTAAATATCAGGGCAGTGCTTGGCTGGGTGATGCTGCCTTGGCTCTGGGTGTGCCTCTGGACTTCTCTTTCTTAATGACTGACACTTGTATTTATAGAGTGAATGCAAGGGAGTTGCTTAGCAGGTAACATTTCTGAATGTGTTTCAGTGTACACAGATTTGAGTCACAAAGTCTATTAACATACAGTTCCTGGTACTGGCCCCTTCCATTTTATCTGGAGATAAGGGGTTTTTGCTCCGCCCATGGCAAAGTGACTGCTGCTGTTGCTGCACTCTGGGCTGTCCTGTCCTCCCAGCCAAGGGCTTCTTTGTCGTCCAATTGCAACTTAACCTTAACCACCATCAAACCAAACCAGATTTCGCTTTCTGTGTTGGGTTCTTTTCCTAAGGTGACATTTAAACAGGCAGCACTGCTCCCGTGGAGCAATGAGCTAGAAGCCACACCAGCAGCTGACAGGCACCATCCACTATGTTCACAGGAGAACCCTGGGTGGCTTGGCAGATTAACAGTAGGGTACAGGCTTCTGCTTTGCTGGTGTGAAATGACCCAGGGAAAGGCAGTGAGAGCTTCCCGTGTGCATCTGGGATCCCTCCGTGCTTTAATGAAGATTAATCTAAATGCTTTTCACATTTTGGAAGAAACCTAAACTTGAATTTCAGTCTTTCAACATACATGTTCCGTTCTGAACTCTGGGCCACACATGCATCCTTGGATGAGCCATTTAACTATTCCAAACCTTGCCTTCATCATCACTAGAAGACAAGCCCTGCCCAGCCTGTGGGAATGCTGTGTGACATGCTGACAGCCCGAGTGAAGGAAAGGACAGCCTTTATAAAACTTTTGGAGATGGCTCATATAAGATTATAATCAAATCCTGACATCTGCTTAGAGGTTGATCAGTAATCTGCCATGCACAGAAATATCTGGCAGAATAAAATTCACCTAAGTCCATAAACATGATTCCAGTAGTAACTGATGCAACCAGTAACTCACCACCTCTACACAAAGGAGTTTACCACCACATCCCATTAGAGGTGAGGGAGAGCTTGGACATCCTTCTTCCCACCAACCACACATAGCCAGAGGTTGATCCCCACCTGCCACATGGACATCCCCAGCTGCAGCACGGTCCTTGACATGGAAAGGGTGGCCACCCTTGCCTGCCACTAGAAAGATGGGATCATCAGGCATGAACTAGATCCATGTTTCCAACAAACACGGAAAAAAATACCATTGACCATTTTAATTGTGTTTGTCCTAGGTACAGGCAGACATCTGAAAGGCAATGCTGCCCTCTGTGATGTCCTCAGCTACCTCAGGTATTAACATTTAAATAAAAATCAATATACCTACCTTGTCATTATGTATTAGTAGCATCCACCTTCACAGACTAAAACTAGGTGAAACAGATTTTATGATCAGTTTAGTAGAGATAATGTTCATTTTATCTTTATTATGACTTATCTTGTTGATGAGTTCAATACCAAAGTTTAAAGATAAGTAAAAGTCTAAAGATAGTAATCATTTGGTATAATACTGTATGAGAAATACATTTTAAAATGAAAATGTACTAACAACATATTATGCCCACATGCCCATTTTTAAAAAGAAATTCTAGAATTAACAGGCAATAAAGATTGTTCCTTATTCATGACTCCAAGAGTGGTAATCAGATTGACTGTTAAACAGATCCACAAATACTTTTCTTGTATTCAGTGGAAGTACTTCTGTAGGCAAATACTGCTGGGCCCTGGAAAAGTGGGTGAACCTGGGCTTCTCTGACTCAAAGGTTTATTATTAACAAAACCCTCCATTGCTCAAACCCCACAAAATGGTTCCAACCGAACAGCCACACCACTAGTTGGAGAAAGGCACACATGTGATAAAGGAGGAGAATGAAAAAGCTTATTGACGTGTTGATACACACCTGATAAGGGAAACAAAAACCCACTTAAAAAAACCCAGCAGTTGAGGTTTAGCTGAACTCAGAAGCAGCATCTGGTCTCTTTTCTCTCCCAGCGTCGAGAAGACGTTTGCAACAATGCTGGGGATATTTCCAATTCTAGCCATCCTCACAGGTAAGAATAACAAACTAATCCAAATAGCACTGGAATAAAGGAACTTGTTGAACTAAGAAGGCAGGTGAACCTGACTGGCAAAGCAGGAGAAGGTTCAAGGTTTATTTCAGGATGGAATGAAAACCTCAGCTATAATGCTGTGCCATTTTGTGGAAATCAGCAAGCTGACCGCTGACTGGGAAGGGCTTTTTGTGCAAGAAGTGAATTTTTGCTTTGGTAAATTAATGCTTTGCTCTAAAACCAGGAAGAGGCAAAGAGCTCTCACGTAGAGCATTAGGGTCTTTCAAGTCTTTCAAGGTCGTCTCACATTCAGCTTTTGTCTCCCCTTGATAAGAGCCCTGGGAAAGTTCTGCCTCAGTCCCATCCCCACCAGAAATTTTGTGGGGATGTTTAACTTTATGCATGCAAATAATCCTTTGAATTTCCCTGAAGTTAAGTGAGTATGTAACACTTTGTGGAATCCATGAGTTATATGGTATATGAAACATTATATATTATTTATGTTTCAAGGACATTTCATTATGCTAACCTTTCTTTTTAATATATAGAGAAGCAGACATTTTAAGTCTAATGCTGGACAGAGATGAACAGCCTCTGTATCCACTAAAGAAAATGGAAGTTCGTTTCCATATTTTATTTTCAAGATGGAATTCTCTGGTTTGGATGCCAGAGAAATATTTTAAAAAGTTGCTCCTGGTGTTTTAATGTTAGCTCTCTCATACACAAATAAACCCCAGAGATTTTTTGTTTTACATATGAAAAGTAATTCAGAGTTAGCAGCAATACTTTTCAAAACAATGTCTGCTAATTTTACAGTTCTGGGTTCAGGACGAGCAGTGTGTCCATACTGATGGGCACCACTGACTGGGGTTTCTGCAGTGGCTAGGAAAAGATCAACAAATCTGGACTGACTTCATGAGTGTTAAAAACTGTATTTTTTATGTTTAAATACATATAAAATGTATCCAGTGAAAGCCAAAGATTCCTAATTAACTGCAATGACTTTCTCTGCAGCAAGGAACCGGTCTTACTGTAATATTGATGAGTCAAAGACATGGACCAACTCCTCGGAACAACTTAGGCTCCTGTTCACACTAGCTTTTTTCATTTAGTTATTTCTTACTCATGAGCTTTTTTTCCATTGAAACCAGAAGGCCTTTATGTACAAAATGGGATTAGGAGTTTGGAACTGTCAACAGTGAACTCAATGCAAAGCAAAACTCTCATTAATTTCTGTGATGAGGGAACAGGCTCTGCAGGTCTAGTGTGCTCCATTGGCAGTCCAAAGCTCCATCTTACAACTAGTGATGGCTTTAAGCAGCCCCATTGGCCAATGGAAATTTGATAGGCTTTGGCTTTATATTTTTACTAGAGCAAAGCCTATTTCAACTAAATGTATTTCTTCAAAATACACAGCTTCATGGAAACTAGAATGCTTTGTGGAGTTTTTTTCCATTGAAATAAAGTTCTTCTGGAAAAGCTTGTAACAGCCAGGCTCTGTAGCACTCCTGACTCCAAAAACAGAGAGTGCTAAAGGAATTCTGTGGAGCAGATGACTGGAAAATGGTTGTTTTCAGTAGAGTGACATTGTGTTGAAAGACCCTAGCTTTAATCCAGCAAAGAGCAGAAAATTAACACATATAAACCTGGAAGTATTATTGTGGCAAGAAACTATCATCCTCTGTCCAACTCTAATTCTTAAAGCTGAGCACAGTGAACTGAGATATCTAAAATAAAGTAACATGGATTTTATATTAGATCTCAGTAAGATCAGGCTACTGTGAACTCACAGGACAATCAGGACTTGCAGCCATCCTTGGAATCCCCTCTTTCCTCCAGGCAGGTTTGACACATTTAGGTCAGACTCCAGCCATTCCTGTGAGACTGTCATCACACATAATGCAATTCTTGCTGCAGTTTAAACCTGCTAGTTCTCATCCTAGCCACCACCAACACAGAAAATAGATAATTCCCTTCATCCTTGCAGCTTTTACTATTAAAGCCATCAAACAAAAAAAAATAGACCCCAAAGACTTCAGATAGGTTTGCATATTGTAGCAACTGACAAATCTGCAATATTTACATGCTTTAAAATGTAAATTCTTTTTAAAACAGTTTCTTTTTTAAACAATGTTTTTTCTCATAGGGCTGATAATTTGAGCAAAATACTCTTTTGGTTTTACTGCAGGTTCTGCTTAAATTCTCAAAAGCAGCACCTGAATATAAAATGAACAGATATTTCACTGAGAAAAATGTTTTGTATGTTTTGCCACCATCATTCATACATGCAATAAGCCCAAGTGAAAACTATTATTATTATTGTAACATGAAGTTCTCACCTTGCCTGTTTTGCACAGAAAGCTCCATTCAAAAGAAATATATTCTCCTTCAGAATCTTTAGACAGTAGCTTTAAAATTGGACTCAGCCCTCTAGCAAACCCCTGAAATTCAGACTTATTTTTCTGACAGCTCTAGCTTTGTTGCCATATGTCACTATTGCTGGTAATTTATATGGAGGACAGAAACAGATAAATGCTGTAAGATGGTGGTTGATTCCTTTCATTAATATTAGCTGTGTAGCCAAGAGTAATCAGCACATGATGGGAAAGAGCTCACAAGTGAGAACAAGTACGTGTTTAGGAGCTCTGCTTTTTCAGAACATAGTTTGGTTTAAAGGCCTATTCTGGGGGATTTATTTGCTTGTTAGCTTTTACTCACTCCCAGCTCGTTATCACTACAATTTCCACACAAACTCAAGGGAAACGGGACTGGAGAGGAGAATGACTGGCCACGTCCTGCGGGTTCCCTCAGGGATGTGGGGGGCAGGCAGTGCTGCCTGGTGCCTGGGGTCGGTCCTGCCTGATCTCTCTTCCCCACGCTTGCTGCCCACAGGCCACGTCAGCAGCATTGTGGTGACCGTGCCCGAGAAGACAGTGAACGTCACGACAGGTGGCAATGCAACCCTCCTCTGCACATACACCACTTCTGGACCACTTGGAAATTTCTTTATTCAGTGGAGCTTTTACAGTGCCAAAGAGATGCAACTGCATACCGTAAGAGATTTATTCATTACTAATATGAAGCTATATTTAAGATATTCTTAAGTCCTCACAGAATCTGGTTATGTTTGATAGTGTTATCCTCATGACAGACCAGGGAGCTAGGTAACATTTTTGTTCATACCCTAAAGACAAAGGACGGGGGTGCAATGAAATTTAGGGGCAGATGCACAAAGTTATCTAGGCTCCTAGTTCCTATTGGAATGCCTCAACTCCTTCAGAAACTTAGGAGAAGGTACAAAATGGATTCAGATGCTCAAACGACTCGCTCCAAGTTCACATAGGAAGCTTGAAGCAGAGCAAAGACCAGGTGTCCAAGTATCCCACCAGCTCCTTTTTCTCTTGTCTGGCAGATATTTCCTGCTATTGTGAAGGCTGCTTTCCTGGTGAGCTGCCCTTGCCTTTGACAATGTGTCCCACACTGAAGGGTCAAGAGAGCTCCTTGACTCAGCCACTGTCGTTGCTATTAGGTGGCTCAGTAAGAGGACCGGTGCTCAACAATAGGCTATTGGCACAAAGCAAACAGCAAATATTTTGGCAGGACTCTGCAGAAAGTTGTCATAGCAGGAAATCTGCCCCTGCAAGCTTGATCTGGTATTTCACAGCATCCCATGGGTGTCGTTGGGCTGGCAGAACAATTACAGATCAAAGGGAAATGCTCTCTGCCCATGCCCAGACCCCGAGAGGCAGCAGAGCCAAAGAGCATCTCCCCTCGGGGGTGTAATGAGGCCACGGGGCACGTTGGGGCACCAGCACCAGGGCTGAGATGGACACCAAATACCAGAGAGCTACGTGCTGTAACTGCTGCCCGAGCCTCTCTGTGGCTGTAAAGACCTTGCAGAGCAGCCTGGTCTGCCTGGAAGGAGTCAGGGGTGAGACGTGTAACTTCCTATACGTGCTCACGCTACTCCCCAGACTTCAAGAGCTATCCATTAATGTGTTTTGGTGGGGAAACAAGTCCATGAATCTCAGTCCCAGCATGACACACAGGGTCTGAGTTCCCATCAGCTCAGTCCTGACAAGTGTTGAGCAATCAGCAACACGTTCCTTTATGAGAAGAAATGTTGATTGGAAGTGTTACTGTATCCTTGAAGTGATTTTTTCCACCTTACCCTGGTGTCAGGGTTGTGCCCATTAGACAATCAGTCCCTTTCTTTTCCCTTTAATGCTTTTTTTTCTAGAATTTCAATCCTCCTGCCTGGTGTTCCACCCCAGAGTTGATATAAAGAGATTTGACCTAGAAGAGTGTCACAGTCCACACTGATGATATTCTTATCATGTTCACCGATTTCCTAATGATATTATATTAGGAGCTTTGCCACTGCTGATAGATGTATACCTCCTACTTGATTTATCAGTTATAGCAGAATTAGAGTGCAGTTTACAGAATGTACAGTACAGAACATATGTGGCACTGAACAGCCATAGCCAGCATGTAAGAAATAGCAATTTAATGTAAGACAGAACCCTCCTGCAGCAGGTCACAGCCACCAATAACGACTGAATCAGTGCTAAGCACAAACACAGGGCCCACCCCAAATTCTGGCTCTTGCCGAGTGCCAGACCGACACATGCACACCTTGCCTGACTAATTGTATCAATAGTTATTACTCATAATTTGCTTTTCACAAGTCAAAACGATTTTAGTAAATGAAGAATTATTCATGAAAGGGTGGTAGCTGCAGGCGTCCCGAGTAAGGTGTATATAGCACAATATATTACAATTTTGATCCAGTACGTTACACCATAAATTTAATCACTCGTTCTGTGGACATACAGCACTGAGACAGGACCAAGCCCATCTTCTCCCAGTTGGGTTAGAGTCTCTCCATTTTTCTTGCACCAAATTTTCCATCTTGCAAGACTATAAATGCTGACATTTGCTGGTCACTGCCAAGAGAAACAGGCAGACTGTAGTTGCAAGTATTTTGGAGGGAGAATCAGACAGTTTCAAGAGATCCAGGAGGAGACTATTTGTGAACCATGACTGATGAGGAGGAAATACCCCCTGAGGATTATAATCATAGAATACTGTGGGTGGTTCAGAATATGCTCAACAAAAACTAACTGATGTGAGGCTACCAAATGTCAGGGAAGCCTTATGGATCAATCCCTGCAGCACTCCCAGCTTCTGCAGCTCCCACTGCAGGCAGTGGGAAAGCCGTGACTCCCTGGAGTGTAAGAAACACCACTGGGAAAAACTGCATCTGGTTTTCTCCCTTTCTGAAACTAATTTCATGGTAAATTCACTTTCACACTGCAACACACACACATCTGTAATGGCTGATTTGCATTTTCATTAAATAAAGTCTGTTCAATCTGCAAAGGCCACGGGTTAGTGAGTAATCCTGTTCCCCTCCAACGCCGAGCTAGAATTCCTGCCGACGTGCCTGGAGGGTGCACGTGTGTGAAGAGCTGCAGGACTGGGGCACTGCTCTTCTAAAAATGCTTTTAACACCCATTCAGTCCTGTGTGCCTTGACCTGTATCCTCTTACCATAACGTGCCAATTCCTTACCACTTTGAACCTATTCACAATAAAATGAATCGTGTTAATGCAAACGCTGGGAAGAAAGGAACCTGATTGCTTGTGGAAAATACAGTTTAAGAAATTGCACAACACAGCTGAACATGAAATTGGATTTTCAACCTCTCTCTGAACCCAGAGCAATATGAGGTTGCTATTTCTGTTTCGGGCTGGTGACTTTTTGGAGTTTCAGAAAGGACTATGTCTGAAAGCAAGTTTTTCTCCTACAGCTTTAAACAAAAAAAGAAACTGTCTTTCTACAAACCTGGCTTTGCTCTGGTTGCTTGGCACATAACTGAAGTGAAGTTACACATTTCATTCCAAGTAGGAAATACATGGATGGCAATAGAGGAGAATGGCAGCTTTGGTTTTCATTGTTTACTTTAAAGAATACCAAAATACAAGTAAAAAATATATTTAATATGCTGGTAAGATGATGAAACCAACTGTATAGAACAGACCAGCACCATACTTCACTGGATACCAGAACAGGAGCTTGCATTTGAAGTGGGATAATATTATTTAATTTTATGAGGTATTTAGATTCTTCTAAAATGTCAGTAACAAGCAAATGCTTCCTTATAAATAGCATATACTGTCCCTGAAAAGGTTTGTTGAAAATTCTGGCTTCATTCAAAATTTGCCTTTTTTTCCCAACCAAATGGATAACATTTTCAACTTCCATTTTTTAAATTCAAAAATTTCTGCCAAATATTTTGAAGACAGGAGACTTACAATGTAAAAAAAAAAAAAAAAAAAAGGCAGAAAAGGCATCTTCTTATCCCACCTGCTACAATTTTAAATATTCCTGACATCTTAGTCAATGTTAACTGTCTTGATGCCCTGTTACTCACATAGCTGGTATATCTGCAATAATAAGATTGAGCAGGGGGGATGTTCTCCAAAACAACAATGGGGCAAACAAATTTTTATTCTAATAAATAATATTTATTTATGTAATAGGGGATACAGCCCTTTCTCTCTACAGCAGCAGCAAATAATAGAGCAAACTAGAATGTTAATTAAGGCAAATGTATGTCATTAAGTTGACTTTGGCTTGAAGCATTAATGAACGTGAGCTTTAAACGACCAGATTTTAGGACATGATCTATAACAAGCACAGAGGCAGTGCCAGTGCAGGTGCTCAGCACTCACAAGTCACGGCAGTTACCCCAGGGAGGATGAAATACCACAGCCAGGCTGCTCACAGGCAGCAGGATGAAAAGGCAGGCAGCAAACAGCAGAGTGGCAGGGGGGGGGCGAAGTGCTGGTTTGAAGGCAGCGTGGCTATATATGACCTGAGAACACAGATCTTTCACTAACTGGAACACAGATCTTTCACTAACTGGAGCCTAACTGTTCTTTTCCCAAGTTTCACCAGTGGAAGTAACTCCTCTCATTTGAACTAAGGAAAGTAAATATCAACTCATGGAAAATAGGATGCCATAGATATTTTTAACTTTTTCTTCTTGCCATTTACCCCTTAGCAACCTGTCTTTTTAATGCTAAATTTAATTTTCGAATAACAACTCCCAGCCAAGGATCTTGAGAACTTCCCAATACTGAGCTATCTCTATTTTCCATACAGACAAACTGAGGTGAACACTACTTTTCAGCTCACCCAGGGTAACAGAACACATCACAGCCTGGCCTGGTTCATAAGGTAAAGGCTCAACTACTAAGATCTACAGATCTAAGATCTGAGTCACTCGGCTCAACTTGGTGGAAAGCACCTAAGTAAATGTTTGAAAGACTGAAGCCTGCTGTTGACTCTGCACAGGCGAGGCTACAGCCTTGCAAAGCTAAATACAGCTCCTGAACCTAACCAGGGCCACACCTTGAGCCTCCAGCCCAGGCCACCCACGGTTAAAGCAAGTGAAATTATCAGAGACAAGCCAAGGGCAGAACTCTGGATTGGAATTTTAAATTCACTAGATGAGTAAGGTCATGAATGACTGTTACTTGTGAGAGAAACTGAATTATTGATAGACTTCTCAGGAAAAGGTTCTCTAGAAAAAGTGAGCTTGAGATATTTGTGAACAGTGAGGTTGACACCACTTTGGTACAACTGGTATGGGCAAGTGAGAGGGAAAGTGTTAGCAGCATCTAACAGCAATAATATATTCCATTTATTTTATACATTGGTTTTCACCCTACCAGAGCCCTCTATTTTTTTCACATCTGTACTACCAAGGAAGTATCTCTTACTGGACAAGGGCAAGAAGGCTTTCTCTACTACTGGGAAAGTATCATGTGTTGGATAAGGGCAAGAAGGGTTCCTCTTACTGCAGACCATGCAGAAGAGGCAGATAGCACTGCTCCCTCAGGAGAAGTCTGGTCATGTCCTGACACCCAGCCCTGCAGGCCTGATGAGCCACTCTGCAAACCCTTCACAGGAGTGAGCAGGCTTGTGTCGCGTGGCTCAGGAGCAGGGGGCAGGGTGGTGGAGCCCAAGGAAGGAGAGAGAT